AATAAGATAATAATATAATTTTCAATTATATTTTACATTAATAAAATCCAAAATAATTTTACAAATACTATAGCTAAAGTGGTTAAATAAAACCTAAAGGTTTTACAAGTTATTTTAAATAATAAAAGATAAAATTTAGTAAAATTATATTAAAAAATCTGCAAAATTTTAAAAAGGTAAAACTATATCAAAGCCTATAAAAATGTGAAATTATATCAAAATCTTAATAAAAAATTAGCGAACCTAAAGTTTAGACATTTGTCAAATCTAAAATAAGTTTAGATAAGTAATCTTAACTATAACTATATGTAATTTTTATATAATTAAATACAGTAGTATAAAAGTGGCTTAAACTAAACCTAAATATTATACTGTAAATTGTATATGTTTTTATTACAATCATTTAATAAAATATCTGAATTTTTATAAATATGTTCATAATAAAAAAAATGCAAAAGATTCTAGCTTTATCAGTACTAAATAATATTTTATACAGATTTGAATTGATTTAAATTTAATTTGATTTGACAAATCAAATTTTAATTAGATTTATCAAATTCAAATTTAGATTCAAATCTAATCTAATCTATATAATTTAAATTCTAATTTAAATTTAAATTTGATCTATTAGATAAGAATTTAATTTTAGATCTGAATTAATTATTTACTATTATTTTTATTAAACAATTATTATCATTTAATTAGAATTATTATTCTTGAATGATTTATTTTTGTTTAATTAGAACAATTTATTATTATTTAAGAATTAAATAATATGAAATCTAAGTTATTAAAATCAGGTTACAAAATTCTTTCAATCAAAAATAAGATTTTTAATTAATATTATTATATAATATATGATCTTATTTGGTTAAATTTTTATAGACAATTATTTTATTAACAAAATAAGTAATTAAGTAGTTAAAATTTCTCTTTTTTTTATATAATATCAGTCAAAAATCAAAAAGATTATAAAAATAATCAATACAAAATTAAAAATGATTGATATTTTATTCAAAAAATTAGATCTATTTAAAATTTACTTTAATTAAAATATTTAATATAAAATTTTTATTAATAATTTTTTAAATAGATATTTGAATAGAGTTTAAAGATATTTATATTTCTAGTAAAAATTTTTTTGTTAAAAATATTTTGTTAGCTTTAAAAATATGTAAAAACATTTAGCATTTATTTTTATTTCAAAAAAAAAATTAAATATGAAAAAATAAAATAATTTTTTTAAAAATTAATTTTTTAAAAAAGTATTTTTTATTAAAAATCATTTTTTAATAATTTTTAAAATAAAAATATTTTATTTAAATTTTAAAATTATTTTTAATAAAATTAGTATAATAATATTTTGTAGAATGATTTTAATAATAAAATCTCAAGTTTTATAAAATTGATTTTAAGTATTATAAAAATTAGTATAATAATATTCTATAAAATAATAAATTTTATTTATTTTTATAATATTAAATTTTTAAATATTATAAAATAATAAAATTTTAATAAATTAATATTAATTTAACTCAATATTTCAAATTAAAATAATTTATTATTCTTTTTCTAAATTATTTACTATTATTCTAATTAAACAATTTATTATCATTTAATTAAAATGATTAAAAATTTGTATCTTTTTAATAAAAAAAAAAACTTTTTTAAATTTCTTTTAAAATTAAATCTAAATCAGATTAGATTTGGATTTTAACTAATTTATAAATTCAGATTTGAAATTTGATTTATTAGATTCAGATCAGATCTGAATTTAAATAGAATCTTAAAAGATATATGAATACTTTGTAATAGAAATAGAGAAAACTATCCTAAAAATAAAAATAAGTTTTAACTAATTTTAGATAAAGTTTAGTAAAAGCTACGTTTTTCAATTATAAATGAAATTAATTTGCATAGTAAAAAATTGAGATATTGCAATTTAAAAAATATTATACTAAAAAGATTAACATCTAAAAATAATATAAATTATTAATTATCAATTGAGCTATTAATTAACATCCAAAAAATAAATAACTTTAATACAATAAATTTTCTTTATAATAGAAAGGGAGAAAACTTTATAAATAACATTTTTGCAAATTCAGATAAATTTTAGCATAAGATGTACAAAAATTAGATATGATTAATATTGCTTATTTAAACTCATTTTAGATTTGACAAATATCTAACTTATAGTTTCGTTAAATGTTTACTAAGGTTTCAATATAATTTTACCTTTTTCAGAATTTTGCAGATTTTTAATAAGATTTTAATATAATTTCAATAAATTTTACCTTTTTCCATTTAGACAATTTACAAAACCTCTAGATTTTATTCAGCAATTTTAGATATGATTAAAATCTTTTTTTTTTTTTTTTTTTTAAAAAAAAAGAGGTATGGTACCGGTAGGTTATATCTGACAATCACGTGGATTGTTTCAATTTTGATTGACCAATAATATTTGAGTTATACTAATTATGCAGATTCAAATAAAGCTGTAATATTGATTATTATAATCGCAAAATTTTATTTTTTTTTTTTTGTCAAATTATTGTACTATGTATTTATACAAACAAAATAAGTACTAATTACTCATTTAAATCCATTTCTTTTTCAATGTTTTCAGGTAAACGATGATGAGACTTATACTTAGTAACGGTTCACTCAGCAGATCTACCTACCAACCCTTTGTTGTAAGCATCCATATATCTCCAAGATTTACAAGCGAATTTACAAATAGTTATTACGAAAACATCATTAAGAACTCTTGGAAGCTGTTGAAGTAAGTCTTTGTAGTTGTAATTGCATATTCGTCTGGTTTCTCATTTAGTAAAACCCAGTATCTCTCTATAAAATTGCATTTACAGTGAATGCCCTGCTCTAGTAACTGCCTCCTCTAGCATCGATCGTTGTTCACAAAAATCAGGCTGTCATGATATGATCCATTGTGCACAGCAATCTTAAACTTCAGAGTTATCATCGTTTTTATTAGAACACCGTTCACATACTAAACAAATTTTTTTTTCTGGCCACAGGTTACGTTCTTCAAGTATTTGTTTGATTCCTTTTGGTTGGCCTTTCAGTATTTCTACTGGGTAGTCATCTGGAAATATCATTGTTTGCTTACACCTCTCTCCGCGTTCGTTAAAATACCAGCAATTACGCATCTTAGGTTGTCTTCCTTCAGGACTCAGATTCATTCTTGCTGCAACCAATGCATCTTCCGCTATAGCATTGTGATTTGTCAATTGGTCAAAACAGAAGATGTCAACGCATTCAGGGTGCAATATTTCAAATATCGGGATGGCTCTTTGTATAAGTTGTTCTAACATATGTTCAGATTTCCAGTATCCATCTGACTGTATAGAATGAAGAATAAATACATCCTTGTATTTATTTGCAGATTCATTTGCAATTGCTTATCAGATAGTCGTAATAAGCTATAACATAGGCAAAGGAAAGCTGAAACCATAATGGAACGTCCCATATACTTTGAACGCAAAATATCTTCATCTTTTATGGTCCAGACTTTTCGCTATCCATTATTTGCATAGAAGTGACATTCATCGTGTGTCACTTGTACCAATTCCCTATCTCCTTGCTCGAGCTGAGGTTCTATTATATTTTCCATCATATTACCATCAAAGTCTTTCATGTATTCCTTGTATTTAAACATCCTTTCTAACCATTTAACTCTATACGCTACTACATCAGACTGCTCATGTCCATTGTAATAAACACCTTTTTTCTTTTTATCATAATTATATCCTCACAAATGCATGTAGTTTCGGCATGTCTTTTCGGTAACGGTATCTTATTCAATGTATTTTCCTTTGATATATGCCTTTAAAAGTGCAGGGGATCGTGATTCAGGTTTTTGCCGATGTAACCATACATGACAATCTTCAGAGACATCTTCATCATTAAGAAAACCCTCCATTTTGTATGTTTTCCTTGATGATCAGCAATAAGTTCTCCTATTTGTATGTAATGATCTCCCCAATTTCGAATGCATCTTAACATATAATCATCCTTGTTCTACACAATTTCAGCAATCTGTCTATTAGCATTCATCTTACCTTCTCTATCCAATAGTAGCTTTATGAATTTACTTATACTCACCAGACGCAAATAATCGTATGTAGATATATTTAATTTAGATGATTTCGTAAAAGAGCATTGTTGATTAACTTCTTCAAGACATATTCGAAGATTTGTCACGAAATTGGAAGATGATGTAGGGCTTTGCATATGTACTAAAGGTGATTGTGTTTTAGTATTAATGAATGTTATCGGGTTTTGTGGTTGTGTTACAGTATTGACAGATGATGTTAGGCTTTGTGCTGGAGACGTTTGTATTATATCAACAGAGGTTTGATTTTGTATATTAGTTAATACTCCATCTTTAAGTTCCTTTTCTTTTTTTTTCCTCCAGATTGTTGTTCTTGAAGTTCCAGTATATTGTCTTTTATTATTTACTTCAAATTCTTCTCTCTTCCATTCCTCCTGTTCCTCCTGCATATTGATCACTGCTTCTTGTATATGAATATTCTCCTTCTAGGACATGAAACGATCTTATTCCCTAGGTAATTTACGTGCCTCTCATTTCCTTTTTTTATAACGTGGCATTTCAATTAACAGTAAGTATTAATATAGTTAATATGATTTGATAGATTAGTTTTTATTTGATAAATACTTATTAATAGTTTTTTAGAGCAAAAACACAATAAAAGGTTCAAATTTAGAT